TCATATTCATATAGAGTTTATGGCAGTCTGAACATTTGGAAGTATGGGTTGTTTGTAACTTGGACATTTGTACACCATGGATTACCTGTACCCAGTTTATTGAAATAACTCTAACAGTTACCTTCAGTAAATATACCCAGGACTTACATGTCGAACTACAAAAGGTGGCCGGTAGTCTGTTTCTGCTTTGAACTTAACAGACTTCAGGCTCAGAGGAGATAGGTGTTGTTGGTTTTCTCTGCAGAGCTCATGGAGATGATGTCTTGGTGACCTTGGTGATGGAGAGCGAGAGCGCAAGGATCTGGTCAATCTCCTACCATTTTTTTTCTTTGTTGCCCTGCACTGTGCAGGCGAGATGCTCCTTCGCCGGGGTGATGCAGAGGCAGCCCTTTGTAACTTGTTTTTATGTCTGTCCTGCAAAATATGTCAATGTCTGCACTGGGTCTCTGGAGACCAAGCTACAAAAGGCAATAGGTGTAGCAGAAGAATGATCCAAACAACAGCTGGCTGTGCACCTGGCTAAATGCCACACTTTACATTTGAAGCAATGAGAAATACCCTGGAAGAGGCAGCTATTTTTTTTCTCTCAAGGCCACCCCCAAATCAACAAGTGGTGAACCCTGTGCTCTTTCCTGCTCATCATGTGAAGAGGTTGGTGAGCAATGCAGTTTAAAGCATCTGCAAAAAAAGAACTATGGACCTGGAATGATGACATAAGAACAAGAAAGTGGCATTGTGGGATTAACCCAAGAGACCATCTAATCCAGAGTTGTGTTTCCAACAGCAGCTTGTCAAAGGTGTTTGGAAGGCCAACAAGCAAGGCATAATAGCCATAGTTATTGACTGTTTGTGTCCTAGAATGCACTTGATTCAAGGTGTATGCTAACTAACTAAACACCTTGTAAATGTCCCCAAAGGTTTGAATGGCTGAAATCCATTTACATTTTGGATTTTTTGAGGTCAAAAAGTTATCCCTATATTACCTTCTTGTTAAAATAAGGAAGTATTTCACCATATAGAATAAAATTGTTTCTCCCTATATACAGACATCTCATCTGTGTGAGATAGCTCTGCACTTTCTAGGGGGGTAATACGAAGGATGTTTAAATAAGAAAGACCTACATTTCTAGTATTCCCAGCATTCCCCACCCAGTCTTAAAGTTAGCAGTTTCTAACTTTAGAAACTTTAGACAGACTTTCTTCTGTCTAAACATACATAGGCTAAAGGTCTAAAGTAGTTTTTATTGTGTTAGTTTCCCACTAAAACATGTGGAAGCTGCAAGCACAGAGCCCTTCATAACAGTCATCCTCAAAACAATTTATTTAGTCTTTATTTTGAGGTTTCTTTGTTAGAAGCCTCAAAGGGGACTGAATAGTATCTCTGCTCCTCTGACATCAGGTGCATGGTCTCTCTGAAACAGACTCTGTGTAGAAGCTTCTGTATACAAACTCTGTTATCACCTCTCCCAAGGAGGACAAAATCAGTTCATCTTTTAATATATAAATATTACTACTATTATTCAAATTTTATATTAAAAATCCAAAATTATACCAAAAGAAGCAAAGCAGCATACAAAATATGTAACTAACAGTGAATGAAAAGGAAAACAGATAAAGAGATGTACAGGTGAATGAACGGTTGCACCTGGGGCATTTGCTGTTAGACATTACTAGTTGCCCACAACTTCATTCTTGTCTAGCTTTAACAATCACACTTGTATGGGTGTATGAAAAAGTGGCTGATGGATTACTGAGCTGGAATGAGGAGTAGATATCAACGCTTGTGAAACAGGAAGAGCTCTAGAGAAAAGTGCTGTACCAACAGCACATGAGGTAGGTACTCACAGAGACAAGATTATAGGTCTGTTGGAGTCTGAATCATCTTTCAACAAGAATAGATCTTTTGGAGATTTAAAAGTATAAATACTTTTAAATTATTAAAATATAAAGTCGTAAAGCCTTCCAATAGTAAAGCCTTCCATTACTATGTCTAACATAACTAATCATCTGAGAAAAGTTTAAGAGATCTGTCCAGAGACAAAATGTTTCTTATGCTATACTGGGGCACTAATATCATGAGGTATATATAGAGAGGTTCGATTTGATCAGATAAATTGCTCTCCTCATGTGGGTAAATTAGCTAAAATTACTTACACGATACCTTCTTCTGGACAGAAGTGGAATTTCTGTGATAGTTGTTCTTGTGGAAAACTCTAATTTTGGAGCAATGCCCTTAGAGATTGTAAAAGAATGGGAAATTAGGGTAAAATAAAGCAATAAATATGCACACATCAAAGGAGCAGATGAGAGGAAAGTATGGCACATTTTTCTTTGTGTTACTCTCGTCTCAGTTTGAGAGATACCAGGAAAAGCAACATATGGCAGACCTCACCACTGCAGGCATTGCATACTCTAAGTTAACAGTCGTGCAACGAAAGCCTCACTGAACTCAGGACACAACACTGCACTGTAAGCATACTAGATGCCTCCAGCTGAAAAGTATTTGATCACACAGTCAAAAGACTCTATAGCATTGCTGCAGTTATCACAGGGTACAAGAAGAGTACATGTAAGTAGCAGATCACTTTCTTTGTTCTGTAGTTTTTTCTCTCTAATTAGAAATTATGTCAGAGAAAGACTATTTCTTTCTAAGAGCATTGCACAAGGAGTCTATGACACCTCCATATAAGCAGCTGCTAGGCCCCTGGCATCAATGCTCAAGCGGTCATATGATTAACCTGAGCCAGTATATAAGGCTTGACCTAGTAATGCCCAGCCATTGTGACACCACTTCTTCTACCAAGCAGAGAAATGGTATAGATAAAATTACCCAATCCACATGAGCAAATTTCAGCATCAAGACATGCCATGAAAAGCAATTTAAAACGATGGCCATGTGATAATGGTGGAAGTTTATGTATTTAGACTTTCATGGTATATACAAAAGGTATGTCATGCATATTACTTGGTACAATTACACTGGATGCTTATTTAATTTATTCAGAGTGGCTAATGCCATAACACAAGCATCGAAATCAAGAAAACATCTCAACTGAACACACACAATAGGTTTACATAATAACATACATACTCGTAAGTGGAAGGCAGAAACAAGGCAAGTAGAGAAAGTAGGTGAAAGAGGAATAAAGGCAACAGGGAAAAGGAGAAGCAACAGGGCAAGGAGGCCCCAAACCTGGGCAGTGGGCACCTTGCTGGGTGCACAGGCCTCTGCAGGTGCTCTAATGCCAATGAGACACAGAGCAGGGCCTTTAATGCAAACTGTATGGCTTGGGAAGAGGCGTATGGTGTCCAGGCCCAATTCCAAGTACTGCTCATTACCTTTGAAGTCAAAGTATCCTGGGACCCATGCAGCTAAGCAAGCATTTTCTCCTTGTCTCATCAGATCACTAAGTGAAGTTCTATTCCTTATTCCTTCCATTCATGGTAAGACCCACTATTATATAGACGGATGCACAGTTCAGTGACTGTATCTATGTTACAAAGCGGCCTTCCTATGGAGATCCACCAAGAATGTGACACTTTGTCTTCTGCGACCACCTTTTCCAGCCAAAAAGGGTTTGTTCTAGTTGCTTGAGGCTGTTCTTGCAAACTTCGTAGTAATTTAAATAATTATAAGGATTTTGTTGTGAATGTTATCTGTTTTTATGCAGTCCTCAGAAATTTTAAAGATGGAGTGGTAAAGAAATAGATGGGGTTCACACAACACAGTAAGTGATGCTGGCTTATAAACAGGGGGTGGGGGAGGCTTCTCATGATGTCTGAACCCTGCAGCATGGTTTGTTAACCACTCTGGCTGGGATAAGCCACCATGTTATATGAACGCAGTCACAGTATGAATAAACAAATAGTTAAATACATAGTTAAATGTCTCTACTGCTAAATATTGAAAATATCTGTGAAATGAATAAGGAAGGGGTACTGAGAAGATCTCACTGACTCTGGCATATGTATGAACAATCTGTAACAACTCACTGGAAAAGAAGGATGTGTGTTCATTAGTAACTCTCTGTCCACTCCAGGATATGCAGGTGTCAGTTTGGGCTCTGGAAACAGAAAATCTCGAGTGTTTGCTTCATAAAATGCAATATCTTCTTTCTCTAAAAGTTGAATATATAAGAGTTTGGTTACAGAAATTGTGACCAGTCTTCTGAATGGAAAAAACTTTATGCTATATTGCAAAAGGAAATTTTCTCAAAATTACTGTACTGTTCTTCAAGGACTCCCCTACTGTACAGTGTGCAATACACAGATCACATTTATACAAAATGGTAAGTCTCATTTATTAATATGAAGAAAGAACAAAACTGGAATTTTGATTTTTTGGAGCCAAACAAGCCTGGATTATAGACTAGCTTAATTAAACCGGAAATTGTTGCTGGCTCCTAATTCTGGGTTGTTTCAGCCCAACAAGCCATTATTATGGCAAACTATTCCTACCTGGTTTATGCTTCTGAGAAAGGAAGGAAAGAGTAACAAGGTTCAGATGACACACTGAGGCTCACCACGGATGATCAATGGCCTCCACAGGCACTAGTTTGCATATGCAATCCCTGTTCATGGGTGTTGTGTTACGCATGCCCAGCAAGGGTGGGTTATATTTGAGGGTTAAACAACCCTTACATAACCTTAAAACAGACCATATATTATGCTAGGGTTGTTCAGCTAAGGGTAAAAGCACCTCCTACTAGTTATTTTTCCTTAATCCTCACATAAACCAAGCTCACCAGGTTTGCACGACACAGCAACACTTGTGAGTTGGGCTGCATATTATGTCATGCAAACTGTCCAACAGTGTGTATCCACAAGCAGTTCATCTACACAGTGGTTGCAAAATTCCTGGCTTAGCATTACCTGCAAATGTGACCACAGACTATAGGCTCTGCGCTAAATCTGCAAAGAATAAAATGCCATTTACCATATTTTTCACTCTATAAGACGCACCTAGTTTTTAGAGGAGGGATCCATGGAAAGCTTCCTGATAATCACAGGCACATTCCCCATCCCCATGGATTTCATTAAAAGACGGGTTGCCATTTGAAAACACACACCGACCTGTGATTAACAGCTCTCACCTGAGCCGGAGGGGGGGGCGGAGCAGGGCGTTCTGAGCGCGTGCCGGCCAGGTGGTGCCACGTGGTGCAGGCGGCCGGCAGCGTCCCGGGCGTCGGGCACACACACTTTCACTCTATAAGACGCATAGACATTTCCCCTTACTTTTGAGGGGGGAAAAGTGCGTCTTACAGAGCGAAAAATACAGTAGGTGTCTGTGGTGTAGTGGTAACTAGCTACAACTAAAGAGAAAAGCACCTCCTATTGGGTTATTTCTGTAACTCGAAGCTAGAAGAAATGTCTGCTTCTGGAGACATCTCTAACTAGGTTCACACTAGGCATGACATTATTTGCTCATTAATTCTGCAATCAAGGGATGTATGCTTTTCATAAACAGTAACTGCACCACAGGCCACGTCTGGATCATAGCCTCAGCTTGGGATGAGGGTACACAATTTCTTTCTTTACTGCCACTACAGACCCTGTGTGGTTCAAGCCCTGTCCCCAGCTGCTCATTGACAATGAGAGCTTTCCTCCCAGTTTGGTAACCTGCTGGTGGTGGGCGCAAGCCGGCAAGGCAGTGCCGATGGCGTGTGCAGGCCAGCATAGGGGCAGAGCGCACAGAGTGAGGTGGGGGCGGGGGGCACAGCGAGATGAGACAAAGGGGGGTGGCCATGGTGAGGTGGGACAGTCGCGTGCGGCAAGGGGAGGCGAGGCGAGGCGAGACAGCAGTGGACGAATGAGGCAGCAGCTTTCTTGCTCAGAGATCATTTTCTCTGAGCGAGTCCAAAATGATCTCTGTGCGAGCAAGCCACTGCCTCCCCACATGCGCAGGGAGGAGGGCAGCGGCAGGCATGGGGAGTCCAAAACCTCTGAGGTGGGCCAGATAAATGGGCATGGTGGGCCAGATTCGGCCTGCGGGCCGTGGTTTGAGGACCCACGCTGTAGAGATTAGGACCCAAAGAATGCCCAAGTGACTCAACCCCATTTCTTGCTGTCGCTCACAGATAGGCCTCTGCAGGCAATCCTCCTCACCTTTACCAGTGCCTAGGCAAGGCAGATGAACTGACCAAAGGCCGATGCAGACTCTGCCAAAGGGCAGGGCATGAGAGGGGTAGAATCCTCTTCTGCCTGATTGTGTGGCAGTCTCCAGACAGGAAGACATGCAGAGGCTAGTGTACCACCCATAACTGGAAGTAAGGAAAAACGCTGGATTCTTTAAGTAGTTTTAATAAAAGCACGTTTCAGATGAAGCAGAGCAAGCTACTAATTGCACCAATATAGCTTTAACCAACCCATAGAAAGGATGGATAAACACAGTGGGTGGCTAATCTTTGTTGCTGTAAAATGTCATTTTTTGTATGGATATGGGATTTAAACTACTCCACTAGCCCATTATGGTGGGCTGCATCATCATTACATATAATTGCATTTGGCCCTTAATTATCTTGAAGCATTTAGTATTGTCTCAACAATGTTATCTCTTCACTCTCAAGCCCCTCATTAGCTGAAATCTATTTTTAGGTTTCAGCATAGAGCAAAGACTTTTCATTTAGGAAGGGAAAAGTTCACAGCAAGGTCCTGAGGGCATTGGGTAAAGATCAATGGTGTAATCCTATACCTATCTACTCAGAAGTAATTAAACTGGGTTCAATGGGGCTTACTCCAATGTATGTGTGTCAATGATTGCAGCCTAAATTGTGGGGGGTTTTTTAATGCCTAAAAATACAAGATACAAAAGCTCCTGAGAAATAATTAGGAGTGATTAAAACATTGGGTGAGGTGGGACCAGCACCATCACAAAATGGGCCATCCACTTGTCAGTTCCATTTAAAAGTCTCTCAGCTCCAAATACCAGTCTTTTACATATTCCATCATACAACTTTTCTTTTTGTGGTCCAACAGGAACGGATTTAGGGAGAATTAGGAACATGGAGAGACTCCAAATGCAGGTCAGCCAGTAGTTCCAACAACAGAGGTGCAATAATATTAGTGAGGGGACCTTTCTTATTGTTTAACCATACCACAGTCTGTGAAGATGATGGAAAAGGCATTCCTGGCTCATTTCAAAAGCCAAGGATACACCTTGAAAGCAAGTGACTTGCTAAGCTGATTCCAACTGATTTTGGCTACTACGCTGCAGTGATCAATATCTGTAACTTTAAAAATAAGAAATGAAGGAGAGAGGTTCATCTGTGCTTCTTCAGTAATGGAAGACTTGGCTTACCATAGCAAAACTACAGCATGATGCCACCTTTACCTCTCAGCTGGTTAGTCACAAGCACCCCATTCTATTTTGAGTTAGGAATGACTATAAAAGTGAACTGCCAAACTGCTCAGCTGATTTGTGGGCAACTTCCAAAAATAAGTGGCCTTGAGCAAAATATAATATTAAAGCTACATTCATCATCATCTCCCCCTGCCCTCTGGTTCTTGGCAACTTTTGTAAGGGAAATTATATGTAGTCAAAGCCACAAACAATTAAAAAAAAGAATACATAGGATGATTTGGAGGGACAGGAAGTTCCACAGTAACAGTTATTTAAACTTCAGAAGTTAATGTCATCTGACTATCAATTTTCTGCAGAACAAAAATTAATCTCCAAAAGACTCTCCTAGCCTGGGAAGCTTTAGCAGAAATTGGAGGAACACTTCATTTTGTGCAGCAACCTTAAGGACTCATTCTTTATTTAATAATAAACATTTAGCATATATAGACAATTGATTAAAGCAACCCAACTAAATGTTAGAAGGGCAGATTCCATCATTTGCAGTAAACATTAACCTTGAAGGTTTTCACATTCTCAGTTGTATAAATGACAATGACAATTAGCCAAGCTTTTATGAAGATGCAAGGGCTACTGATTTTTCCTATAATTGGATCATTTAACAGTTATTAAATATGAATGATCTCACAGGGTATTGTTGACCAAATCAGAAGATAAATTAGAAGACACAATGAACAGTGGTGAGAGCAGGAGGAATAGGGAATAGAATATATTTAATTTTGATTTAATTCATTAAATTAAAATGCAAAATTACTAGAGAATTGGAAACACATTGGAAAAATGGAAAAGTATATGTGTCTACTAGCATTACCTGAAATCCACTACTGAGTGCAAATCACTCTTACAAACACTTAACAAGGTAGTTCCATATTCTTCTGAGCAATATGGGATGCGATTCTATGCATGTTTAAACAGAAAAAGTTCTACTACTCCCACCTTTCCTCAGGTAGAATGGAAGTATAGGACTCTTTTCTTTCTGAGCATGAACAGGATTGTGCCCTTGCTCTATTTCTGAACTCTTTTTTCATATATGTCAACTTCCTGCCCCTGCCCTACATCTTTCTATCTATTTATCTACCTATCTACTGTTGCAAAATTTAGGCTTAAATTGAAGAAAGTAGGGGAAAGCACTAGGCCACTCAGGTATGACCTAAATCATATCCCTGATGAATATACAGTAGAGGTGATAAATAGGTTTAAGGAATTAGATCTGATAGACAGAGTGCCTGAAGAACTATGGATGGAGGTTCACAACATTGTACAAGAGGTAGCAACTAAAACCATCCCAAAGAAAAAGAAATGCAAGAAAACAAAATGGCGTCTGAGGAAGCTTTACAAATAGCTGAGGAACGAAGGGAAGCTAAAGGCAAGGGAAAAAGAGAAAGATACACCCAATTGAATGCAGAATTCCAGGGAATAGCTAGAAGAGATAAGAATGCCTTCTTCAATGAACAGTGCAAAGAAATAGAAGAAAACAATAAAGTAGGGCGGACCAGAGATCTCTTCAAGAAAATTGGAGAGATGAAGGAAACGTTTCATGCAAAGATGAGCATGATAAAGGACCAAAATGGCAGGGACCTAACAGAGGCAGAAGAGATTAAGAAGAGGTGGCAAGATTACACAGAAGAACTATACAAGAAACAGCTTAACGTCCCTGATAACCACATTGGGGTGGTCACTGACCTCGAGCCAGACATCCTGCAATGCGAAGTCAAACGGGTCTTAGGAAGTCTGAGCAACAACAAAGCTAGTGGAGGTGACAGTATTCCAGCTGAGCTATTCAAAATCCTAAAAGACGATGCAGTAAAAGTGCTACACTCAATATGCCAGCAAACTTGGAAAACTCAACAGTGGCCACAGGATTGGAAAAGGTCAGTTTACATTCCGATCCCAAAGAAGGGCAATGCCAAAGAATGTTCAAACTACCGCACCATTGCACTCATTCACATGCTAGCAAAGT